CCAGGCCGACCTTCATCCCTCGCAGCAGGGACACAGGAAACGAGGCAGGTGTAGACCCTAGGAGGAGGGAGGAAGAGGAGGACAGACCACCTTCAGCTGCTTTCATTTCAAGTTTATTGTGTAGTGCAAACAATAGAAAAGGTTCAGAATCATTCGTCTGTACAGGTCATCATCAGTGAAGCTGCATCCAAACAAAGCCTGCTTCTGCGCGTCATCATGCTTCTTCACCCACAGCAACCTCATCTGATTGGTCAGGACCTCAGTCACATGATGCAGAACAAATACAAACACTTGAACTGTTCATGCGACCTGATTTTACCCACGAAACACCAGCACGCTACTGCTGCCTGCTGTTTGGTCGGTTAGAGTTCAGGACAGGAACTTGACGGCGCCTGTTTACGAACCTCCAGCACACGTCAGCAGCAGAAGCAGGAGCTTCACACCCCAAATCAAAACGCAGGGTGCTGTAAAGCGGCTCATGGTGCTGTAAAGCGGCTCATGGTGCTGTGACGTCCTCAGCGACTTCACTGCAGTAGAAACTGTCGAACTCTTCCATCAAAAACAGGATGAAATTTGCCCGAGAGAGCCCCCTGCCTGTGGAATGACACGTCCACAGGCAGGGGGCTCTAACAGCTCACAGGCTGCCCCTCAGAAGGCTTCCGCATGCTGGCCAATCAGGGGAAAGTGCCCTCAGGGAGAGAAGTGATAGCTGAATGAATGAGCAGCGTGATGACGTCACAGAGTCACATGATCAAAAACAATCCAACAATAAAAATTTAATTTCAGTGTTTCAGAATTTTCTCTCGTCTTTAAACGTGTGAAGCAGTCATTGTGAAAACCTCGCATTCATTTACAGCGCAAACAAAACAAATCAGCTGATCACAAAACGCCCGCCATCACTGAGCTAAAAACAGGAAATGGTTCAGAAACCAGGAATGAAACATGAAGCAGCCGGCAGTCAGTCGCACTTTAAAAATAAATCAACCCGCTATAAAAAATAACCTAAAGTCTTCTCAGCGGCGCTGCCCGCGCTCTTCAACCTGCTTCGTCTTCTTCACCGCGCCTCCTCGTTTCCTTTTTCACAGTTGAACTTCCTGCTGCGGTCCGAGGAGAAGAAGAAGAAACAGCTCGAGCACGTCTGAGCTCCTGTAGGTCTGTCCACTCCTCCAGTCGCTCTCAGGTCAAAGGTCAGGGCGAGCTCGTTAGTGCGTTTGTTAGTGGAACTCGTTCACTGAAGTAAAACTCAGTCTCTTATAAACTAACGAGCGTGGCATCACACCCACAGAGCAGCCACAAGGCTTTTACTTTGAAAGGATCTCCCTTTTTTTGTTTCGCCGTTCCTCCTCAGCAGGA